GGAATGAATTGTCTTGGCATGACTGTAGTAAGAAGAGCTTATGCTGACTCAGTAGAGTTAACTGGAGTAGAACTTTGTGAACCATTAAAACTAGTAGTTCCATTAAAACCAGTAGATCCAGGTACTAAGAAACCATTAAAACTAGTAGATCCAGATACTGATCCAGGGACTGAGAAACTTAGATATTCATGATCAAATCTATGATAGCACTGCAGTGCTGTGTGTCCTCCCTTACCACATACTTGACAGATTAGTTTAGGCCTAAAATATCCTTTTCCTCGGCCTCTACTTCTCATCATTCCAAGATGAAACATGTGAGACTAGTTTCCAAGGTTAAAACCATATCCAGTCTGTGAGTATTGGGAGGAATGTGAGGGATTAAAATCCGAGTGAACTGCACTGTTTAAACTGTTTCCTCTAGAATGGTTGTTACTAGGCATTTGTTGGTGAAGGAAATTCTGATCTGAAGGTTGAAAATTGGGCATTGATTGAAACTGAGGAGTAGTGAAATTATGAGCACGAAAATTCCCATTACTAGCACCAGAAACATTCTGAGAACCTAAAGAGGACTTTATCTGAGACTGTTTGGAAGCCAAAAGAGCTGAAGCCATGTGTTCATGAAAATTTGACAAAGAACTTTGTTGTCTCTCCAACCTAATCTCATGTTTGTGAAGTAAGAATTGGGCTTCTTGTAATGTCGTTTGACTACTACAAGCTGTCAGATTTGCCACAACAGCATCATACTCTAGCCCTAAGCCGTCTAATATATACAGCAAAAGTTCTTCATCTGTGATATTCATTCCACTTTCTTTCATTTTCAACACATATTCACTCACATTACAACCTTCTTTTTTAGTAATTTGTAATAGGTTTCTCAGATGTAAGGTCCTAGCTTTGGATATCGATGGGAAATGAAGCTCTAAAACATTCCATATTTCATATGAAGTAGTGCATTTTGCTACATGCCTAAACATGGATTTAGAGATTGAGGAGTAAAGCCAGCTTACCAAGAATTGGTCAATCTTCTTCCCAGTGAGGTAGCTAGGGTTTTGTTTCTTCTCTGTCTGTCCTGAGTCAGTAGATTTCTCTAACAAGATCATCGGTGGACACTCTTTTTCACCAGTAACAAAGCCTTCGAGACCATGAGATGTCAGGGCCGGCAGAATCTGTGATCTCTAGAACGAATAGTTCTTCTCTAGCAGTTTTACAGAGACGACAGGTAGGGTAGGTGGAACTCCTGAAGGAGTGAGATTTGAACTGGAGCTATGAGCCTCCATGTTTAAAATTGCCAAGATTATTCAAGATCGAGGATGAATTTTTCCCTTGGATGTTGGTCTAGGGCTCTGATACCATGAAAGATTTGAAGAGGTCAAGAAAACTAAGAAACAAAAAATGCAGAAGAAAAAAGTGCAGAGGAAGCTACTGGAGAACGAAGAAAGACTGAATCAGAATTTTTATTAATTAATTTCTGTTACAGTACATTAGCACTTATATAGCCAATTGAAACGGCAGTGCTTTTAGATTCTGAAATTACACTTAGTACATGCAGCTTATACAATCATTACAAACAAGACCCAGGCTTCTTTAAACTCCTCTGTTTTTCACTAATTTCTCACAGTACCTCTGCTTAACAATTGTCAAGGGGCACATTTTGTTTTTTTAGGTATATAAGATATTCATACCCACATTTGAGCCTATCTATTCCTTAAGGTCACAGAAATCAAGGGGCACGTTGAAAGCAAGCATACTAGATAAATTCATATTAAAACAAAAAGAATTCTTCTACCATTTCCACTTTAGGTATATAAATATTTTATGAAGATTCTTAAGATCCTTAGATGAAGTTTCATTTTAAATGAGTGTTCATCCACCCCTTCTGATGTCGATGTAAAATATAATATGTGGTGTTGATGAAATATCTTCATGTTTAGTTATAGGATAGTACTCTTTGTATCTCATGTAGCTCGTTACAGTATTTTGGCCTTCCACAAACTTAAATATGCAGAACAAATTAAGATGTCGTACACTCTCTCATGTAAGGATAGCAATTGGGCACATAGAACTACGGATCCTAACCCCAAGGGAGTGGTCTGGCGGTCAAAGAGGTTTGCTCCCTTCCTTGGGTTTCTGGGTTTAAAGTTAAAACATTGGTGTCATCACATTGTAGCTTACCTAGTCTTTTATACTTGTAGGGTATTCAATGAACCGTGAGGATTAGTTGAGTTGCACGCAAACTAGCCCAGACACTTTAATTATTAACAAAAAAAAAAAAAAAAGAATACGAATCCTAGTATTATCAAACCCTAACTAGAAGGTTGTGATAATCATCAAAACTTGTTCTTTTAATTATGAGTGGTGTTATTTAAACCCCATTCAAACTTTCTAAGCCCCAAAAGCAATAATAAATAAATAAATTGCTACAGTTAAAGAACTTTGGATCATACTGTGTGATGAACTTAATGGTCTCTCTCTCTGTCTCTCATCTAGCTAACCATGAATGAATTAAAGAACGTAGAGATTTTACCTTCAGAATTTGCATGAAAGTTTTCTCATTTCAAATACCAAATGGATTCAAATACTATATGGTCAATAAAACATGTAAACATTAATTGAAACATGCATGATAAAAACGAGTTTGATTGGTGATCTCTTCATTATTGAGGCTGAAAAAAACTGTTAGTGGCAGACATCAATAATGCAAATTAAAGATCATAAAGAACACCAAACCATGCTAGCTACCATTATCTAATATATAAATAATTTTAAAGATTTGGAAAAATAAAATATTCTAGCGTATATTAAACTCATTCACCCCTTCTTCTCTGTCTCTACATTAATTATCCATTTGCACATATTTCTTTTTTAATTTGTCTTTGGTTAATAATAGTGAAATTAATGCCGACACCAACCTAATATATATGGATATTAGCGTGAAGGTAACTTAATTTTTCTTGACTGCATGAAACATTCCAGTTCTGTTTCATGCAGGTGATTCGAGCTGTAAAAATAATTAAGCATGTGTTAAAGATGATATGAAAGCATGTTAATTAATTCAATTTGAAATCCAATAATTTTAACTCCATGGACCATACATGATCTTGTAAAGAAGATCATCGACCGAGACAACTTACCCTAAATATTTGTTTATTATGATATGAAAGCATGTGTTAATTATTTGTTTATTTCTATTTTTCCCTGAATATCTTACCGCAATAGGGTCAGGGCTGTGAAGGCATATGAAACTCATGCTTCCACTTATTTTTTCTTGATATTATTATATATTTTGTTATTCAAATATTATATTTATGAACTTTGTTTTATGTTTAACGGGGTATCTTTTGAGAGATGAATATATAGTTAATTAATTCTTTTGTTTTCTAGCATATTAATTTCATTCTTACCATGTCCTTGAAAGATCGATTCATTAATTATGGGTCTTTACTTTATAATCTTGGTCCATCTTTTATTAACTTTTACATCTTTAATTCTTGGTTCATTGTCAAGGGGCACATTTCTTTTTTTCTTTTTTCAGTTATTTGAGACATCCAAGCCCACATTAGAGCCTGTCTATATCTCAAGGTCACGGAAGTCAAGGGGCATGTTGAAAGCAAGCATACGAGACTAAATTCATATTAAAACAAAAAGAATTATTCTACCATTTTGACTTTAAGTAAATAAATATTTTACGAGGATTTTTAAGATCCTTAGACAAAGTTTCATTTTAAATGAGTGTTCATCCACCTCATGATGATGCCGATGTAAAATACATTATGTGGTGTTGATGAAATATCCTCATGTTTAGTTACAGGATGGTAAACAAATTAAGATGTCTTAAGCTCTCTCACGTAGGGATAGCAATTAGGCACATAGAATTACAGATCATAAACCCAAGGGATTGGCTTGACGGTCAAAGAGGTTTGCTCATTTCCTTGGGTTTTTGGGTTCAAATTTTGGCGCCACCTATCATACTGTGACTTAGTCTTTTGGGTTTGTAGAGTGTTTAATGGACTGGGAGGATTAGTTAAAGTGTACGCAAGCTGATCCGGACACCCTAGTTATCAAAAAAAAAAAAAAAAAAAAACCTACGAATCCTAAGGTTATCAAACCCTAACGAGAAGGTTGTGATAATCATAAAAACTTGTTGTTTTAATTATGAGTGGTGTTATTTAAACCCCATCCAAACTCTTTTTAAGCCCCAAATCAATAATAAATAAATAAATTGCTACAGTTAAGAACTTTGGATAATCAACTTTGGATCATACTATGTGATGAATTGAACTTAATGGTCTCTCTCTATCTCTCTGTTTCTCATCTAGCTAGCCATGAATGAATTAAAGAATATAGATTTTTTTTTTTTTTTAATGATCGGGGGTGTCTGAACCATGCTTGCATGCACCTCAACTAATCCCCCAGAACCCTAGAACTATCGGCCAAGTAAGAGCTCCAATGCCACCCCTATTAGGGGTCATGGGGAATCGAACTTGGAAGACCATATATTAGATCCTCTCCTTGCTCTTTTACCATCCCGAGGACTTGAACTTGGGAGACCATGATACATCCTCCTCTTGCTTTTTTACTATCAAGGGAACTCGAATTTGATAGATCATGTTAGATCCTCTTTTACTCTTTTACCATCAAGTCACCCAGTGATGGTTGAACATAGAGATTTTACCTTCAGAATTTGCATGAAAGTTTTCTCAGCTCAAATACCAAATGGATTCAAATACTATATGGTTAAAATTAGACTACAATAAAAAGAACATGTAAACATTAATTGAAACTCATTCACACCTTCTTCTTTGTCTCTACATTAATTATCCATTCGCACATTTTTCTTTTCTAATTTGTCTTTGGTTAATAATAGTGAAATTAATGCCGACAACAACCTAAAATATATGGATATTAGCGTGAAGGTAACTTTTTCTTGACTGCATAAAACACTTCAGTTCTTTGCTCCATATATATACAATCTCATCTATTTCTGATTTACTTGTTAACTAAAGCAAGGAATACGATGAAGATGGGTTTAGGATTTGCAGCTTGGAACGTCTTCCTGTGTCTTCTTCTTTTTATGGTAATTAATCTTCAAACTGCATGGAATTGGCTTGTTATTAAGACATGAAACTCAAAATCTTGATTTTTTTTTTTAAATATTAGAAATTGTTTTATTGATCATTCATCCAAGTTTATGCTAAGAATGGGAAAACTGTTTCACAGAGTGCTTACAGAAGTGGTGCCAAGGAGATGACTGATATACTCTCGCAAATAGGCCATAACCATGATGCCCTTCATCATGTTCATGCTCATCAGTCATCCCACATGGATCCTTCATCTATGGTGTTCTTCACCATGAAAGATCTCAAAAAAGGGATCACTATGCCCATCTATTTCCGCGTGAATGAGCTTTCAAATGTTTTCCCTCATTTGTTGCCTAGAGAAGAAGCTGATTCAATTCCATTTTCACTGGAACAGCTTCCATTCCTTCTAAAACACTTCTCCTTTTCAAAAGACTCAACTCATTATGAAAATTTATGAAATGTTAACTCTTGAGTATAAACCAATATCAGAGAAATGAATTCTTATGGAAACCATGAGTCCTGAGGTGACGACAAGACAAGGTAATGGTTCAAATGAATCCGTCGGATAACAAGACTAATGAAACCATCAAGTATAAGACAAAGAAATAAGCATGCCATGTACATGATATTTCATAGTATATATTTTCATAGTTATATTATGTATGGTTATGTTATGACTTATGTTATGAGAAAAGCCCAAAGTGTATGATATGTTTTATGAACTTGTTATGTCAAAGAATGAAGTCATGTTTGTAGTAGGTAAGGTCCTAAGTAATATACTTGTATAATGAACCTTATAGTTTATAAATGGTCATATTCCTTACTGGTGATTGGCGCTCACCCCACGAAATGTTTTAAAATGTTTGCGCAGGTAAGGATTAACATGAAGTTGGGGGAGGATTCGAGGGATGCTTGAGCAGAGAGTGTTTTAATGATGACTTTGAATGTTTTGCTAATATTTAGTGTAGTAATTATGTTCATATTTCAGAATGCAGTAAATATGTCCATGTTCTATAATAGAGTAAATTGTTGTATTAATAAAGAATCAAATTGCTATGTAATTTTGTAAAGTGTGTATGTTCTAGTAGTATTCTATGGATTTCATAATTTACTCCAGAAGGAAACTATATTTTTTGACTTATACATGAACTTATTATAGTTTAGAATTAAATTTATATATATTATATATATATATATATATATATTATAATAATATATATAAAAACTACAAGTTTTTTCTTTAAATAGGATTTAAAATAACTTCTTTCCTAGGCTGCATTTTCTACGTTCTCAATGGCCAGGGATACTTAGGAAATACCCGACTAGGGAGGTTTTTACAGTGGGTATCAGACACGGTTTTGGCATTTGAAATGAGTTTTTGATTGAATTTTTATGTTATTTTTATTTAACTGATGATGGAAAGGGGTGTTTGTAAGTAATGAAGTGTCATCCTCATGCGTCCCCAAATACTCTCACCACCGATTGCTGTATATTTTTCTTTACTTGTTTAGTGAATAGAATTACTAATGTTGATTGAAATTTGTGTGAGTAAAGGGTATGGCTACAGGCGTCCACGAAAAGTTAATAGAGGGGCAAGAGAATGTTAATGAGTAGGCACTAGTGACCAGTAGCACCAACTACCAGCGCGCCCCTTAATAGTGGACCACTACGTCTACCCAAATGCTTCTATTTTGGATGAGGCTACATCAACAAGATGATTCAGGCAGCCATTACTGAGCCTTTAGGAGGGTTATCCCGGCGAGTATAAGTAACCAAGTGAATGCTAATCTCTCAGCTCCATAGTTCAGCCTTAGTTCCAAATACCAGTTCCACCTCTATATCATCAGTTTGCTGATGGGTGCTACAACTTCTAGACAAGTAGAACCAATCTATAATCATTCTCAAAAGCACCACCCTCCAGAGTTCATTGGTTCAAATGATCCGGCGGTGACAGAAGAGTGGTTGAGACTGTCGAACGGGCAATGGCCTTGTTTCCCATGAGTGACTAGGAAAAATTCCGCCATGGTTTCTATTTGTTGAGAGAGATGCCCGGGTTTGGTGGAAGCTAATGGGAGCATACCTATGTGACGAGTGCTCTTTCTTGGAATGAATTTAAAAGGCTATTTGAAGCAAATACCAGTCGGCGACATTTTATCCGTAAGATTCAAGAGTTCACGAATTGAAGTAAGGTAACATACTATTAGAGAATGCTACAATGTTCAACTCCTTAGCCCTTTTGCTCCTACTATGGTGAGTATCAATGGTGCCGATTAGAGAGATTTATTAATGGACTACACCCAAAAATTGCCCAAATTGTTATAGCGAGTGGTCAGCCTCCCCAGACTTGAGGCCCTGGAACGGGCATTAGAGCAGAGATTTATGTGAACAAGGAGAGGCGGATGGAGAACCTCAAGTTGGTGATTGGTTGTTCTAGTTCAGGCCATATAGCATTTAGAAAGTTGAAGTGGGGATTCCACTCAAGCCCCCAGAGACAAAGGTAAAGAAAGTTTCAACAAGGATTTCAAAGAGGGGTGGCAAGAATAAAGGACTCCACAACAACACAAAAAAGTAATCTTCCCCTTATAAAAATGTGTAGGCAGCATAAAGGGAATTGTCTATTAGGGACCAATTTGGGTTTCAAATGTAAACAATTGGGACACATGGCAAAGGACTGTAAGTTACTCAAGCACTACTTCCCTTCACACTGTTGGAGGTTCGATTGCCAGAGTTTACTCAGTGGCTTAGAAAGAAGCCGAAGCCAATCCTCTGCATTACTGGTCAGTTACAATTCCACTCTACCTCTTTATATGTACTGATTGATTCTGGGCTACCCATTCTTTTATCTCATATGGTATTTATAAAAGATTAGGTTGAGCGCCTAGTAAGTAAACATGCTTTGTTAAAATTGAGATGCCTAATGAGGAGAATTATTTTGCTGATAAGTTTGTTAATAGGGGAAACTATAGTGATTGTGGGCATGAGTTGAATGTTGATTTGATTGTTTTTGATATGCCTAATTTTGATATGATTTTGGGAATGGACTTCCTGAGCAAATATGGAGTATTGATAGATGTCGGAAAAAGAAGGCCGGTTTAACTTAGATGCTGGAGATAGTTTCACCTTTGGAAGGTCATCTGCACAGCCTGATGATAAGTGTATGAAGAGGCAATGAAGATGAATAGGAAGGTTTGTACAGGGTACTATACTATGTGGTGAATAAGAAAAGTTTCCAGACTTTAGTGTTTGGGATGTACCCATAGTACGAATTCAAGATGTATTTCCAGAAGATTTGCCAGACTTCCTCCAGAAAGGGAATTGAGTTTTGTATAGAATTAGCTCTTAATATAGCACCAATATCTAAAGCCCCGTATATAATGACTCCAGCAGAGTTACAAGATTTAAGAACAGCTTCAGGAGTTGTTAGATAAAGGTTTCATTCGACCCAGTCATTCTCCATGGGAGCTCCTATTTTATTTGTCAAAAAAAGATGGTTCGATGAGAATGTGTATTGATTATAGGGAGTTCAATAAGGTGACGGTGAAAAACGAGTATCTATTGCCAAGATTGATGACTTGTTTAATCAGTTAAAGTGAGCTTCGATGTTTTCCAGATTGATCTTCGGTCAGCTACCATCAAGTGAGAGCGCTGACAAGGTTATTCCCAAGACTGCATTTCGAACCAGATATGGCATTAATACTTATAGTGATGCCATTTGGATTGACTAATGCCCCAGCGTGTTCATGGATTTTATGATAGGATTTTCCATGATTTTTTGGATAATTTCTAGTATTTTTTTATAGATCATATCCTGGTCTATTCCAAACAAAGGAAGATGAGAGCATTTGAGATTGTGTTACAAAGACTAAGAGAAAAAGTTATATGCTAAGTTCTCCAAATGTGAGTTTTGGTTGGATCAAGTAACTTCGGGACATATTGTTTCACAAAAGGGTATTTCGTGGACCCCAGTAAGATTGAAGCATGATTGAATGGCCAAGACCAAATACTATAAAAAGTTAGAGTTTTCTTGGTTTAGCAGGATATTATAGGAAATTTGTGGAAGGCTTTGCTAAATTAGCTTCTCCACTCACAGCTCTGACAAAAAAAAGCCTCGTTTAGTGGACTAAAGCCTGTGAAGAGTTTCCAAGAATTGAAAAGAAGATATCTACTGCTCCTGTTTTAACCCTTCTAGAGGATGGAGTAGCTTATGATATTACACTGATGCCTCTCATAATGGTTTGGGGGCACATTGATGCAAAAAGGCAAGGTGATGCTTATGCCTCTCGTCAGCTGAAAGACTATGAAAAGAGGTATCCCCTCATGATCTTGAATTAGCGTTGTCGTTTTTGCTTTGAAGATTTGGAGACATTCTCTTTGGGGTGAAATGTAATTTACACAGATCACAAAATTCTAAAATACTTTTTCACCCAGAAAGATTGAATATGAGGCAGAGAATAGGCTTGAGCTGGTGAAGGACTATGAATGTGATATTATGTATCAGCCAGGAACTAATGTAGTTGCAGATGCCCTCAATAGGAAGTCTCCTTACTCAATTAATTTTTCAAAAGCACCTGTACACAGAGATAATGAAGAGGGGATAGAGTTGGAGATTAGGAAATGGTCCAAAATTGAAGTTCAGTCTAAGTTTTGGAGGAAATTAGAGAAACAACGCGAATGATGGGTTTAGTAAGGAATTGAGCAGCATGAAGATGGCAGAGAATCAGATTCAAATGGGTGAATGGAATCCTGAAATTTAAGATAGAGTGTATGTTCCTCAGGATATTGGTTAAGAAAGAAGATTTTAGAGGAAGCACATAGAACTCTTTACACTGCTCATCCAGGGAGTGTAAGATTAATCGATTTGAGGAGGCTATTGGTGGCCAGGGTTAAAGAAAGATGTAACTGAGTATGTTACGAGATGCTTGGTGTGCCAGCAGGTTTAAAGCAGAACTCAGCGCCCTTAAGGATTGTTGCAGCCCTTAGTATTCCTTTATGAAATGGGAAGTATTTCTATGGATTTTATTCTAGGTCTTCCTAGAGTGCAGGGGGTATAATGCCATTTGAGTGTGTAGATAGATTGACTAAATCTGGTTATTGCATTCCCATTACAGACAAGATCTCCTTTGATCAGCTAGGTCGATTATATGTAAGAAAATAGAAGATTACATGGAGTACCTAATAGTATGTCTCAGACAGGGATGTGAAATTTATGTCAGTATTCTGGAGTAGCATGCAAAGGCATTGGGTACTAGGCTTAATTTCAGCACAGCCTATCATCCTCAGATGGATGACAACAGAAAAGACGAATCAATATTGGAGGATATGTTACGCATGTTGTTTTGATCACAAGTTGAATTGGTGTGACATTCTCCCTCTATTAATTATATATATATATTATATATATATTTATATATATATATATATATATATAAACACAAGTTTATTCTTTAAATAGGATTT